ATGGCAGCAGTAAAAACTTGTAAAATGAAGGTAAAACCTCTCACAACCTGTGGACCAGAAATGCCTCTTTGATAAGCAAGTACGCCCAGGTATAGGTCAGTCTTAAGAGTTTATAAATGACCAGACAGAGCTGTGAGCACTCCCAGAGAGGGAGAAAGAGGAGTAATGCACTGTTTAAATAACATGCCCTTCTCAAAATGAAAGGACAAAATACAGATCAGCAGTAGACAGGGGCCTGAAGGAGGACCACCAAGAGGCATTGGCGGAGCTTGGGGAGTGACAGAACTCGACTGCAGAGATCGTTAACACGAATACCTGTGAAAACTCGAAGAACTGTAACTGAAAAAGGTAAATTTTACTGTAAATTACACCTTCAAAAAATTCAAAAGATATAGAAAAAAATTAAATTGTCTACTAAAGTAAAAAATTTAAAAAAAATTCACAATGTCTTTAAAAACAAATTAAATGAAGGACTTCCCTTAATGAGTTCAAATGCTGGAATATACTAGTATAATTGAGTACATTAAAAAAATTTTCCAAACAGGAGCACCTGGGTAGTTCAGTCCATTGAGCATGGATGGGACTCTTGGTTTTAGCTCAGGTTGTGATCTCGTGGGTCAGGATTTTGAGCCCTGCAAGGGACTCTGTGTTTACCACGGGGTCTGCTTGGGGAGTCTTTCCCTCTGCCCCTCCTCCCCACTCGTGCATGTGCATGCGAGCACCGGCTCTTTCTCTCTAAAAATAAATTTTAAAAAAAAATTTTTTTCCAGTGAGAAATGAGGTTTAATACTTGATCTTTTAGAAACATTAAGCCATCTTGAGGTATAAGATCACATAAGAGTTGACTGATTGCCTGTGTATGGCCTCCTTGCTTTCTCTAAACTCATAAATTTGTTTGTTTTTCCTGAATACAAGAAAAGTCTTAAAAAGAAAATTAAAAGTAAAACCAGAAAATAATTCCTAATATGATTTCTATGTACTACAAAAACTATTAAAATACACAGCTGAGCCATTAAAGTTATATGTCTCAATGAGGGTCCTAAAGGCCCAGAAAGGGATTTGCTTTCCATAGCAGTCACCCTGAGGCTCCTAGTGGTCCATGAGCCTTGCTTAAGAAAATGACTTTATCCATCCCAGGAAAGTATATACCTCCCAACTAAGAATAATAAGCTATATTCATTTAGCCGAGCTTTATGCTAAACTCTCTGCAATCACAACAACCCACCTTGCAGATGAGGAATCCTGAGGCCAAGAAGTGAGGGAGAAGGGTGGAACCAGGATCTGGCCAAAGCACAAACACCCACCACACCAGCCCCCGGGGTGCAGGCCAGCACCACAATGCGGAGCAAGCAACATGCTCCTCCTCCTTTCCAGGGGCCCTTCACAGTTCTACTCATCTACAGCTTGTGAGCAGCCCTTCTCTTGGTCTCCATTTAATGCCAGAGCTTGATGAGCATCTCCTTTCTCAACAGAAGAACAATGGAAGGGCAAAAGAGGCTCTAGCAATCACCTTTCTGATCCAGGATTACTTCACTCTCAGAAATGACCCTGCGATTTTACGGACAGAAAAGACTGGCTTAAATCCTTATTATCAAAGATTCCTCAACTTCCCATTGTTTTCCTCAGGACTGCGGGTTTACTGTGCTCAGCCCTCAATTCTGTTTCTCAGGCAGAAATACCCATGCTAACTACACCCCAGCCCAATAGCTCTCAGGCTGTGGTTTGAGGACCCTTTGACACTCTAAAAATTACTGAGGAGTCCAAGGAGCTTTTATGTATGTGAACCATAATCTATCAACATCTCCTGTATTAGAAATTAAAACTGAGGGTTAAAACCTCTGCCTTCAGCTCAGGTCATGATCCCAGGGTCCTGAGATCAAGCCCCGCATTGGGCTTTCTGCTCAGCGGGGAGCCTGCTTCCCCCCTCTCTCTGCCTGCCTCTCTGCCTACTTGTGATCTCTGTCTGTAAAATAAATAAATAAATAAAATCTTAAAAAAAAAATTAAAACTGAGAAATTTTTTAATCAAACCAGTTTAATTAAATCATTTAAAATATTAAACATGTTAATATAAGTAACATTTTTATGGGAAAGAAACCTCTGTTTTCAAAAATAAAAAATAATGAGAAGAGTGATACTGTTTTACATTTTTGTAAAACTCCTGAAGGTCATGCTTAATAAAAGCCGGCTAGATCTTATATCTACTTCTGAGGTCTGGCATGACATTCATAGGTACACAGTCATGTAGCCAAGGAAAACACCACTCAAGAGAATGAAAGTAGAAGGGCAGATAATGTCTTAGTATTACTTCAAAAACTGTCTGACCTTGAAATGGTGTCAGGAACCCCCTAGAGCCCTCCTACCACATTTGGAGAACCACTGCTCTAGTCAAGCGTGGGGTACTCCTACGTGTGACTTCAGCAGATCCCCACAATCTAACTTGAACTCCAACCTCACTCTCTTTTGCTTCCTTACCACTGCCATGCCCCACCCCCCAAATGTACCATCTTCCCTAAAAAACAAAACTTTCTACATAAACTGTCTCCTCTTTCTCTTAGGTCACCAAACTTCTTGAAAAAGTAGTTCCCACAACCTCTACTGCCCCTAGTTTTTATCATTTTTATTAACAAAGTAATACAGAGATGTTCTCATTTAAAAAAAAAAAAAAAAAAGATAAATCACCATCCACAATTCCAGTCTCTAACCACTGTTACTCCTAGAAAATACTCCGAGCTGTTAACTAAATAATCAGATTGAATTTTTAATTTTCTTGTGATTTTTTCCCTCATCAAATAGTTATTTTTAAAAATCCTGAAAGGAAGTTCTGTTTAGATTCCAATTCTTTTGGTTACGCAAGGTATGGTCAAAAAATAAGGGCTACCAACTAGGATTTTAGGAAGATAAAATGAGTGACATTCTTATACAAAGTGAGTACTAAACAAAATACTACAACCATGCTGATTTTATGGTAATACAACATAAGACAGAATAATGAAACTTAGTCATCCTGATATATACATATATTATATATATAATATGTAACAGTGTCTTCAGGATTTTTAACATTTTCACATATATTTGCTCTTTAAAGTTTCACAACCCTGAGGTCAATAGGAATTAGGATTAACATTTTATAGATAAGAAAGCCAAAGTTCTAGGAGAAAAAAATTACTGCTCAAAATTACATAGCTAGAAAAATGCACACCAGAAACCATAGAAAGAAGTTATATTTTCTGACTCAAATCAAATCCCACTCCTTTATATTACATTAAACAGTACATCAAAAATTCTCACAATATAGAAATTTTAAGTTCTACTTTTAAAAAAATTAAATTCTTGCCTATTTTTAGAGCTCATCTGGAAAAAATGATCTTTACTTCCAAAGTTGAAAATGCAAAAATGAACTGTATAATTTCTGAATGCAAAAAAGAACAAATCATTTTTGCTTCTTTATTATACAATATCCTTTAGGAAGCTTACATTTTATTTAGAATAACAGTTGAAATTTGCTAAAATCTACATCAACATGTAGACATACTATTCTATTAGAAAAATAACTTCTTAAATCCTTTATTTAGGCATTGCTATTAACAAAGACCCAAGACTCCTAATGTAAAGATGATGCAACAGCTGCCGAAGAGAACACCAGACATACACACTTCATGGATGCTACCCTCATACTTCAGTGCTACCCTTGAAATTCCTGCAAGTAACACAGGGAATCATATGGAAATTCCCTAAAGTTCACAATCAAAATTTGGAACTAAATTATGAAAAAGTACTAAACCTGTTTATATAAATAACAAACTATTTGATTCATTTTTTAAAAGACTTTATTTATTTATTTGAGAGAGAGAGAGAGCATGAAAAGAGAGAGGTCACCAGGAGAAGCAGACTCCCTGCCAAGCAGGGAGCCCAATGTGGGACTCGATCCCGGGACTCCAGGATCACGACCTGAGCCGAAGGCAGTCGATCAACCAACTGAGCCACCCAGGCGTCCCTATTTGATTTATTATTAATCTTACTGAAATATTGTTTCCAATCCCCTATTTTTTTTCCTACACCAAGGCAGCTCCAAAGGAGCTCAACATACTTAAATGATTTATTTATTATGACAGATGAGATTATGAGAAAAACTGAACTTAAGCTATTCTTATTAAGGGCTCTGAATCTTAGTATCTCAATTTCACACATATAACATGGGAAAGTTTTAAAGCCATGATTAAGCTAACCTTTTTTTTTTTTTTTTTAAAGATTTTATTTATTTATTTGACAGACAGAGATCACAGGTAGGTGGAGAGGCAGCCAGAGAGAGAGGAAGGGAAGCAGGCTCCCTGCTGAGCAGAGAGCCTGATGCGGGGCTCGATCCCAGAACCCTGGGATCATGACCTGAGCTGAAGGCAGAGGCTTTAACCCACTGAGCCACCCAGGCGCCCCTAAGCTAACCTTTTTAACACACACTGGCATTTCAAAAATATGGGCGAGAGGGGCGTCCAGCTCGCTCAGTCAGTGGGACATGCAACTCCTGATCTCAGGGTTGTGAGTCTGAGCCCCACAGTGTGTGCAGAGATTACTTAAAAACAAAATCTTCAAAAAGTATTTATGTGGGCAAAATAACTGTTTACTTCCTTCACATTTTACTCTTTTTAAATGTAAAAGATAGGAGCGCCTGGGTGGCTCAGTGGGTTAGGCCTCTGCCTTCGGCTTGGGTCATGATCCCAGGATCCTGGGATCGAGCCCGGCATCAGACTCTCTGCTCAGTGGGGAGCCTGCTTCCCCACCCCCCCTGCCTGCCTCTCTGTCTACTTGTGATCTCTTTCTCTGTCAAATAAATAAATAAAATCTTAAAAAATTAATAAATAAAAAATAAATGTAAAAGATATATACCTATCTCAACACATTCTTGTCAGAAGACCAAAAACCCATGAGATACAGTTCAATACTTAATCTAAAGAAACTGCAAAGCTACTTTACTAATAAATATTTGAGTATTTCTCTTACCTCGGTTTCAGAACAATGTGAGTATCCCAATTTACCTGTAATAAAAATACAAAAAGTTACTTCCAAAGGATTTTAGCTTTTTTATCATTGATAAAAATATCTGAGCTATCCTGGCATGGTTTCATTATATCTATGCAAATATGCAAATAGAAGGTGCTAGAATGACCAATATTCTAGAAGGTCCTACCTAGAGATTTGTTTTAAATAAGCCCATAAGAAAATACTAAGTAGGAAGATGGGAAGAATATACTCAATTATAATAAGACCTAAAACACACACACATATTTAATATGCATATATATAAGTTAATGAAAGTAATAAAAATATTTTTATTGGAGTCTTGCTTTCTTTTTAAGGTATCTTAAAATACTTTAACAGCATTTACAAAGTACCTTTCAAAATACTCTAAAATACCTTCAAAAAATCTTCAAAAGACTCTTAAACTTTTCTCCAAATACAGCTTCCAGTTTAAAGGTACAGTGATCATTTCAATGAAAGCATAAATGTCTCAAACTAATATTTTCTTTAATATACGATGGTTGTTTTTCTTTAATATATGATTAGACAAAACCACATAATTAATTTAGTAGTTTTCCAACAGAGGATCACCTAAAGAACAGCAATAATAGAACAATATTTGGCTGTACCAACATCAATATTTCCTCTTCATCACTGACACATAATAGCAAAAGAAACATGTACAATTATACATTTCTGCCAATTCTGATGAATAAAACATACTTTTTAAATTAAAAAACAGCTATTTTGAAGATCATTTATTAAGCAGTTTTAACAAAAAGAACAGGTTACATATTTATATTGGGTACTAAACAACTTAATTTCCCCAGTCCACACTTGTTAAAAATCACTGTCCTCAGTTCAAACACACATTAACCTCTACCTCCTTTCTTCCAACAACACTCTCCTTCCTCCTAACTGCTCTCTCCAGCCTCTGACTCCCACACCTAGTCCTAGCCCACTGTGCTTGTTCCAGCAGTCTGTGTTTTCTTTAATGCTTAATGAGAATCTATTCACCTTAGAGTTTATAATATACCACAAAAAAAAAACCCCACAATGTTTTTTTATGTGCCTCCAGACTCTTAAAATGAAAAAAATTGAAATCCACAATTTCTGATGACCTAATGGTCCTAATGTGGAATACTGGCTGAAACTGAGACCAGAAAACAAGGGACCATGGGTTCTATGGATTAAAAATTATATATGAGCAATAAATAATTAAAGATTATATGAACACAGAGATAAAATGGTTTAATATACAAAGGTTTTACATACTATGGTTTGATAAATACATAACATACATATTTACATATTTATGTATTGTTGAATGAAACTATGTATTATAGTTATATATCATCTATTTTTATTTATATATATATGACTGCTCAGAACACTAGCGCTTTTGGTAAATTAATTATCCTACAACTCCTATAGAGGGGGTGATTAGCTTAACCTAGGGAAGTACTGTGAACAGCAGCAGTTCAAAGGGCACAGACTACCTCTCAACAAGCATTGAGAGTGTCTACTCTGGAAGGGGAGGGGAGGGAAAGGAAGGAGGAGGCAGGGAGGGAGGGAAAAATACGGTGTTAAGACAACAATAACAGAGAGTAACCTCTTTGAGAGTACATAGATGTCCATCTTAGTATAATAATTCTTAAGGTAAAGAGAACTGCAAAGAGAGTGGTGGGTTTGTTGTTGGTAGTAAAGTTGGTAAAAAAAAAAATATTGAAACTGTTTTGTACATACTGTAGCACTAAGCAAACAAATGCGCTGATGTTGCTGGGAATCATGAACTGAGGGAGAAAGACCCTGCGTACCTCAGGGGACTGGCTAACTCCACGGATGGGATAGGTGGAGGTGAGGCATTTCAGGGAGTGTGCTCTGTAAAGCCTAACCCTGAACAGCTGAAGTTATGAGTGGGTCTACCAAGATAAGAAATTACAGGATAAGCTGGAACATCTTTCTGCACCAGAAAGTAATGAAGTACTCAAAAGTGATGTCAAAATGGCACAAGTCTTAGGAAATAAGGTTTTTTCAATGACCTCTATGATAAAGCTGAAAATGCTTTCCTATAAAGAATACCAAAAATTTTTGTGTGTGTGCACCACTGCTTCCGGTTATTCAATTTGATCTGGTGACTAATTATGCAACTCTGGAAATGTGGTTCACTATGAAGTGCCTGACCGCCTACCCTACTCTGCCATCCAAATCCCTGCCCAGACTCTGACCCAGGAATCAGAAAATCCCAATTACACGAAAGCAGAGCTTAAAGGAACCTTGGAAACCATCCTGCCCAATCCATTCATTTATAGATGAGTAATCTGAGCCTGACAAGTCAAATGACTTCACAAAATGACAGAGCTGAGTAGACTCCAAGGCTCCTGACCCTTGTCATGAGCATTGCTGTGGTTGTTACCCTGTCCTCCATTCCCACTTGCAGGAACCAGTGGGGTTAGGGAAGGGGACTACAGAGGTGCTATCACAGCGACGTACCCATTAGAATCCTGCTTGTGGAGAAATGGGGAACTGTACTCCTTGATTTAGCAGTTGGAAACTGCCAATATAGCAACTGAGAAATTTTCATTTGACAACTTTTGAGTCCTTCCTCATAGGTTAATCACCTTTCCAGAAACAAATCTAAGGAATCCCTCTAAAACCTAGAATCCTATGACTTCACTTTCTAAAAGCTGAGTAAACTAAGCCGATGGTAGGCCGAACCAAGGTTTAAGGTTATTAAATGCAGTGAATCAGTTCTTTAAATAAGGCTAACAATTTTACTGATTTATTGTTATTTTAAAGGCTAGATTAACTCTCTGACAATGTAAAATAAAAGGAAATATTTGGGATGACACTTAAACATTGAGTTTCAAAATATTCCAGTCTTATTAACACACTTATACACTAGGACAAAGGATGATTTGCACAGCAAACCAAGACTTCTGCTTGGCGTTTCCCAAACAGAATGGGCATTTTAGTAATGCCGGAAGAATCAAGGCTGTGTTTTTTAGGCCCTTCTTTTTAACTCATTCTGAAATATTCTATCTGCTCTTAAGATTTGCTAGACAAGTTCCCTCATGTCCTAGGAAATACAAACACCAGTCTTCCTATAAAATGATATAAAATGGCTTTAAGTGATGCCAGGTGCCTCAGTCAGTGCCTTCGGCTCAGGTCATGATCCTGGGGTCCTAGGATCAAGTCCCGCATCATGTTCCTTGCTCAGCGGGAAGCCTGCCACTCCCTCTGCTTGTGCTCTCTCTGTCTCTGACAAATAAAATCTTAAAAAATAAAAAAAATAAAATGGCTTTAAGAAATGAACAATTCCTAATGTAAAATGTCATTTAAAAAAAAAAAAGCCACTTCAACTAAGATAACAAAGACATTTTAAATTCTAAACGTTGATAATCAGACACTTTCATTCCAAAGTCTGCTCAGTGTTACCAGAGAGAGCATTTCAGTGAACACATCTTGGTAGACCCACTCATAACCTTAGCTGTTCAGGGTTAGGCCTCACACAGCACACTCTCTGAAATGGCCTCACTTCAGTAGAATCACACAATCTGATGACCCACACAACTATGGTGGAAATTAAGGCAGTTACAGAAAAAATTTAAGGTGCTCGTGTAGATTAATTATACCTTTAAATTAAGGAGGTAGAGGGGCACCTGGGTGGCTCAGTGGGTTAAAGCCTCTGCCTTCCGCTCAGATCATGATCCCAGGGTCCTGGGATGGAGCCCCACATCAGGCTCTCTGCTCATCGGGGAGTCTGTTTCCCTCCCTCTCTCTCTGCCTGCCTCTCTGCCTACTTGTGATCTCTGTCAAACAAATAAAATCTTTTTTTAAAAAATTAAGGTGGTAGAAACCTCAGCATATGGCTGACTTGTCTATCACAGAGTCACATTATCAATGTGATTCAAATTAGCTGAACAAGCAGAAGGCAAAGATGCCTGCCAGAAAGACTCAGAACCCCTATAATCTTTACAATAAATAAACAGCTCTCAGAATTACTCTCCAAATTTTTCCCATGTAAGCAAACTGCAGGCAATGATTGGGTCTATCTGATCCTATGAAGGTATGTTATTTTTTCAAAAGCTGAACATTCAATAGACACACCCTATCCCCCAGCCAGCTTGCCTCTGCTCCTCTCATTCACTCAATAAATATTTGCTGAACACCTACTGAATACTAAAATACTGATGATAGAGTGGCAAATGAGCTACACAAACGAGTAAGTCCTTGCTCCCTAGGACTTACATCTTAGTGAACACAGACCCAAAGAAACAAACAAAATTAACTACAACTGGTAATAAATGTTACTAAGGACAGAAAAGGGAAAGAAAATAACAGAAATGTTCCAATTTAGAATAGTCAGACATGACTCCTACAGAAGATATTTAGATAGAGACCGTGAAGTTAGGTAGCAGGTAACTACAGGACTGAGGGAAGAACCTGTTCCAGAACCAGGAGGCAGCCTGTGGTAAGGCTCTGGAAGTGTTTCGTAGGTGGGTAGCATAAAACGCATTTGGAAACACAGGCAGGGGCAGATCACACAGGCCTTTTAGGACAGCATAAGGAGTTTAGATCTGATGTCCAATACAACGGGAAGCCACTGGACATTAATATTTAGCAAGGGCATGAGCTGATTTGAGGTGGGTTTCCAGGTTGGTCCTGCTCTGTGGAGAGGGTCAAGGTGAAACCATGGAAGGTGGACTGCCTCACTGTCCTGGATAGCAACGGAGGGAGGGGGGGAAGCAAACATGGACAGCAGCCAGCCCAGGTGGTGGCAGTGACCAGGAAGAAAAGTAGAGAATTAAGATATAATTTAGCAGCAGAATTAGCAGGACTTGTTAATGGACTGGACTGGTGGTGGAGCAGGGTGAGAAGGAAAGAATGATACCCTGAACAAGTGCCATATTTTCAGGAACAGTGTTCTTAAAGACTTGATCAAAACAGACCAACATCAAGGGTTAAGTTTAAGAACTCTAATACTCTGGGGACACCCAGCTGGCTCAGTTGGAAG